ATCACTGTTATGTATTAAGGGGTGTAGGGAAAGAGGTTAAGAAAACGTGAGAACATACTGTTGTAGCTCAACTTGGGGGGGGGGGGGAGATGGGGTGAATAAATCTAATTAATACTGATCCGGATTTGCGAAAATAAGTATCCTTACAAAGGGAAACTACTCTATTTCCATTTTCGGCAAAATCATTCTATGCTACATCCCCTACCTGAAATAACAAAATCATTCTATGCTACATCCCCTACCTGAAATAACAAAATCATTCTATGCTACATCCCCTACCTGAAATAAAATCATTCTATGTTACATCCCCTACCTGAAATAACAAAATCATTCTATGTTACATCCCCTACCTGAAATAATATCATTCTATGCTACATCCCCTACCTGAAATAACAAAATCATTCTATGCTACATCCCCTACCTGAAATAACAAAATCATTCTATGCTACATCCCCTACCTGAAATAATATCATTCTATGCTACATCCCCTACCTGAAATAATATCATTCTATGCTACATCCCCTACCTGAAATAATATCATTCTATGCTACATCCCCTACCTGAAACAAAATCATTCTATGCTACATCCCCTACCTGAAATAAAATCATTCTATGCTACATCCCCTACCTGAAATAATATCATTCTATGCTACATCCCCTACCTGAAATAACAAAATCATTCTATGTTACATCCCCTACCTGAAATAATATCATTCTATGCTACATCCCCTACCTGAAATAATATCATTCTATGCTACATCCCCTACCTGAAATAACAAAATCATTCTATGCTACATCCCCTACCTGAAATAACAATATCATTCTATGCTACATCCCCTACCTGAAATAATATCATTCTATGCTACATCCCCTACCTGAAATAATATCATTCTATGCTACATCCCCTACCTGAAATAACAAAATCATTCTATGCTACATCCCCTACCTGAAATAATATCATTCTATGCTACATCCCCTACCTGAAATAATATCATTCTATGCTACATCCCCTACCTGAAATAATATCATTCTATGCTACATCCCCTACCTGAAATAATAAAATCATTCTATGTTACATCCCCTACCTGAAATAACAAAATCATTCTATGCTACATCCCCTACCTGAAATAACAAAATCATTCTATGCTACATCCCCTACCTGAAATAATATCATTCTATGCTACATCCCCTACCTGAAATAAAATCATTCTATGTTACATCCCCTACCTGAAATAATATCATTCTATGCTACATCCCCTACCTGAAATAACAAAATCAATCTATGCTACATCCCCTACCTGAAATAATAAAATCATTCTATGCTACATCCCCTACCTGAAATAACAAAATCATTCTATGCTACATCCCCTACCTGAAATAACAAAATCATTCTATGTTACATCCCCTACCTGAAATAAAATCATTCTATGCTACATCCCCTACCTGAAATAAAATCATTCTATGCTACATCCCCTACCTGAAATAATATCATTCTATGCTACATCCCCTACCTGAAATAACAAAATCATTCTATGCTACATCCCCTACCTGAAATAACAAAATCATTCTATGTTACATCCCCTACCTGAAATAACAAAATCATTCTATGTTACATCCCCTACCTGAAATAAAATCATTCTATGCTACATCCCCTACCTGAAATAAAATCATTCTATGTTACATCCCCTACCTGAAATAACAAAATCATTCTATGCTACATCCCCTACCTGAAATAACAAAATCATTCTATGTTACATCCCCTACCTGAAATAAAATCATTCTATGCTACATCCCCTACCTGAAATAAAATCATTCTATGCTACATCCCCTACCTGAAATAACAAAATCATTCTATGTTACATCCCCTACCTGAAATAAGAATATCATTCTATGCTACATCCCCTACCTGAAACAAAATCATTCTATGCTACATCCCCTACCTGAAACAAATCATTCTATGCTACATCCCCTACCTGAAAAAACACAACCGGTGACAGGTTTTTTTTTTGGTTGAAGTGTTACGTTCTTTAGGGTGGGTGGGTGGGGTATGATGTCTTGTAACGATAGAAGTGATTAAGACGGGGGTATTCAATGTGATAGAAGAGTTTCTTTCAGACATCTCATTAAAGCAAATCTACCAAACTCAGATCAGACAACTTTACATTGATATCGAAAATATAATTGGTGTCAACCACCCCCCCTCTCCCTAAAAATTAAGTGCGCCCCATCCCCACACCCATTCCAAGAATTACTGCACCACCAAAGAATAATATCTGAAAGAAACACAGTGTAAAACTAGAAAGGTCGTTTATAATCGAGCCCTTAACTTCAGCAATATGTTGTGTCAGTGTCACTAGAGCGTGTCAGTGTCACTAGGGCGTGTCAGTGTCACTAGAGTGTGTCAGTGTCACTAGAGCGTGTCAGTGTCACTAGAGCGTGTCAGTGTCACTAGAGCGTGTCAGTGTCACTAGAGCGTGTCAGTGTCACTAGAGATTGTCAGTGTCACTAGAGATTGTCAGTGTCACTAGAGCGTGTCAGTGTCACTAGAGCAAGAACGAGTCACTAGAGCGTGTCAGTGTCACTAGAGCGAGAACGAGTCACTAGAGCGAGAACGAGTCACTAGAGCGTGCCAGTGTCACTAGAGCGAGAACGAGTCACTAGAGCGTGTCAGTGTCACTAGAGCGTGCCAGTGTCACTAGAGCAAGAACGAGTCACTAGAGCGTGTCAGTGTCACTAGAGCGAGAGCGAGTCACTAGAGCGTGTCAGTGTCACTAGAGCGAGAACGAGTCACTAGAGCGTGTCAGTGTCACTAGAGCGTGTCAGTGTCACTAGAGCGAGAACGAGTCACTAGAGCGTGCCAGTGTCACTAGAGCGAGAACGAGTCACTAGAGCGTGTCAGTGTCACTAGAGCGTGCCAGTGTCACTAGAGCGAGAACGAGTCACTAGAGCGTGTCAGTGTCACTAGAGCGTGCCAGTGTCACTAGAGCAAGAACGAGTCACTAGAGCGTGTCAGTGTCACTAGAGCGAGAGCGAGTCACTAGAGCGTGTCAGTGTCACTAGAGCGAGAACGAGTCACTAGAGCGTGTCAGTGTCACTAGAGCGTGTCAGTGTCACTAGAGCGAGAACGAGTCACTAGAGCGTGCCAGTGTCACTAGAGCGAGAACGAGTCACTAGAGCGTGTCAGTGTCACTAGAGCGTGCCAGTGTCACTAGAGCGAGAACGAGTCACTAGAGCGTGTCAGTGTCACTAGAGCGTGCCAGTGTCACTAGAGCAAGAACGAGTCACTAGAGCGTGTCAGTGTCACTAGAGCGAGAGCGAGTCACTAGAGCGTGTCAGTGTCACTAGAGCAAGAACGAGTCACTAGAGCGTGTCAGTGTCACTAGAGCAAGAACGAGTCACTAGAGCGTGTCAGTGTCACTAGAGCGAGTCGCTAGAGCGAGAGCGAACTGTTCAAGTTTTATCTAGCAAAGTCCATCGCTTCTATTCCTACCAGAAAGTCGACGGATCAGTGGTCGCAACCTGAGCCTCTCTAATGCCACCTCTGCTTTCTAGTTGCTAAATTCTTTCAACTGCTGTTATACAGGAGAAATGATTTTCTAGTCACTACATTTGGTATTTGGTAACAGCGCTCTGAACAGGATATAGAACTCTGATCTGATGATCATCCTATGACGATGGCCATGTCTGAATAACGAAAGGGACGATAAACACACATTAAGCATTAATTTTATGGTTAAGCGGCTATGCTTAGATCGGCAATATTGTCGCCAAATATGAGACCTTGCCATATAATTATGCCGTATATTATCTATGATAAAACCTTAGTTTAGCGTCGGTTATTATTCCGGAGTAGTATAGCAGTAAAAAAAAAATGGCAAAGTCTGTCACACAGTTCCGGAATTCACCGGAAGTATAGTAAACCATATTTTATTTGGCGCCATCTTTTATCTTTAATACTGAACAATTAAAATTTGGATAGATTTTTTTTTATTGCGTGTTAAATACTGCTTTATTAATAATTTTGTATAACTAGTTATTTTTAAGTGTTTCAGATAAATATTTCTGCAACCTAACATTGTTCATCAGGGTTCGTACGCAGTCTGGAAAAAGTCTTGAATTTAGAAAAGTGAATTTCACTTCAGACTTTAAAAGGTCGGGACGGGTCTACACTGTGGTATGACGTTCTTCACGGGATCGCAAAAGAAACCAGATTTCTCAGTTACTACGTCAATAGGGGGGGGGGGGTAGAGACCTGGGTTTTTTTTTTTTTTTTGTTGCGTGACTGACCGTGTAAATGTGTTACAAGTATTTACAATTGTTATTTGATGAAAGAATGATCGGCCATACAAATCTTGACCTCTTTTTTTTACCCGCTATTGTTTCTTAGGTTTCTGAAATAGCAGATAGGCAGTCATATCAACAAATTATGAGGGAAGCTGTAAGTGGTAGTCTACGTATAATTTAACTACCTGTATTTTCAATTCACTCTTCAAACTGTTTTTGAAAACTTAGCAAAAGCTGACGATTAGGACTAACCCAACCCTCCTTGTAACTAAGGTCACTGATATCTAAACTTGTATTAACTCACAGTGACCCCAAGTATGTAGTTGGTGCTGTTTGGCTGGGGAGGGGGAATAAAAGTTACGGTACAGTTCATGCTATGACCTCACAGTAATGAAAACATTAATTTACTACAATCGACTTTCACTTTATATTTCAATGGTCAAATAAACCATGGTTTACCGTAACTTTAGTTACCGAAACTCAACAAACATCACCCGATAATTTCCGACGTCAAACTAAGGTTTTACCTTATCTATAATGACTAGCTTTACACAGTTTTCTATCCAATAACTAAACGCTAACTAGGCTTAAACGTTCAAGTGGATCTATCATTACTAGCGATTTCATTATCGTGTATATGGCTAATGAGAAGTACCACCCCGTTTGTCAATTATACATAGTAAACAAAGGCTAAATAGATCTTTCTCTGACTATACCCAGAACAACGGCGTACATAGGTCTTCACGCCACGTCCGGTGCTGTTCGAGTGATCATGACGTCATGTGATCCTAGTTTTTAAGTTACACCAAGAAAAATCTAAAAGTAAAATTATTTTTTTTGCAAGGTTTTGTTTTACTTGCTTCCTCTTACACGCTTTTATTTCATGTGTTTCTTCGTGCTTTCTTTTTCCTGTTTTTTGTCGTCCGTCATGGATCGAAATTGGCGAGGGAAATTTCAACCACTTCTAACTGGCCAATTTCTTTCAAACTTGATGGCAAGATCCGATGGCAATGCAATGTGGCATACAATTTCACTTACTGGATGATTAATATATTTTTAAAGAGTTAATTAAAATTTCTTATATAAAATGCTATTTACCACACTATTATTATATTATACGCACATTGTTCGTATTTATTTAGTGCGAATTTTTTTTAAAGTCATGCCTGTAAGGTTTGAATATTCGATGTAATCAATAAAAATAAAAATCTTTTTAAAAAATTTGGCAAGCTATAAAATTATATTTATATTTTTAAAAATTAAAGCTGTTTGGGAACCATCGGTTACACTAATTTTCAAATTTTGTATCCAATATAAGCCGCTGAAAAATCCATTTAGAATTATTGCATCAATGCAAATATTTAAAATCACGCCCTTAACCTCTCCTCAAAGTCATGGTAAAACTATAAAAGTCAGAACAATTGTTTTTCATCATTAAAATACACAATAGTGATCAATGGTGTATAGCGTAGTATTGTATTTACATCAAATGATATAACATCCCCTATCACTACATCACCCGGACTCTACTACAGAGGCGTAGCGACCCTTCCCGGCGCCCGGGGACAAACTTTCAATTTGGCGCCCCCCTCGGGAGCAAATTTTCTATTTGCACCCCCCATCAAACTTTCGATTTGCAACCCCCCCTCCCTCAAACTTTCGATTTGTTGCACCCCCCCCCCCCACCTCAAACAATCTATAATTCAAAAATGCAGCTAAAATGACATTTTAATTTGTTTTTACAACCCATTTTTTTACAACCCCCCTCCCCCCCCCCCATCGCTACGCCTCTGCTCTACTAATCTGCTTACTACTTTTATATAACTAGTAATTATTTGTTTGAATATTTCTAGCCTGAATAAAACCCGAAGTCATTTTGCACTTATTCTATAAAAGTTATAAAATATTTCATTTTGGTTGTAAAATATGGCTTCTGGCAACAACGATTTGAACCAGCTTTGAAGCTGGTTCAAAATGAAATAATTTATTTTATTAAAATTGTTGAAGTATTGAAAAAAGTATTAAAAACGTATCACAGAAACGTACAGAAGTTTAATATATTGTTAGTTATAAACTATTATTTAAGTTAAAATTATAGTTTTAAAACAGTCTCACTAGGCCACAATGACATCAAATAAACATGGACGAACGCAGGTCTCTGAATAGTGACTCAGCCTTATTTTGGTAACAGAAAAAAAACCACAATTCTTACCTGTAGAGGTTTCAGGTTTTTATTGACATAATTGTTATATAGATGAGAATGGAATGTTAAAAATGGAACTCTGCTTACATCTGTCTTGCCTCCAAATACCACCAGCTTACCATAGGACTTAACTCGACCTAGCATTACCATACACCCGACTTACCTGCACATAATATCAACTTACACCTTACCTAGCTGCACATAATATCAACTTACACCTGACTTACCTGCGCATAACTTCAACTTACACCTGACTTACCTGCACATAATATCAACTTACACCTGACTTACCTGCACATAATATCAACTTACACCTGACTTAGCTGCACATAATATCAACTTACACCTGACTTAGCTGCACATAATATCAACTTACACCTGACTTAGCTGCACATAATATCAACTTACACCTGACTTAGCTGCACATAATATCAACTTACACCTGACTTAGCTGCACATAATATCAACTTACACCTGACTTAGCTGCACATAATATCAACTTACACCTGACTTAGCTGCACATAATATCAACTTACACCTGACTTAGCTGCACATAATATCAACTTACACCTGACTTAGCTGCACATAATATCAACTTACACCTGACTTACCTGCACATAATATCAGATTACATCTGATACCAACCTCTTACGTCTGGCCGCATATTTTAAAATTGGTTTCTTGATACTTACTCAGGCTGTTGTGTGCCGTACTTCAGAAGTGTTCAGTCTAAGGTTGAAAGTTACTATAAGTCTATAAGTCTACAATATATTGTTTAAAATTATGGTGTACAATTGCTAAAGATTGTGTTTTCTAATGTTGATAATTATTGTGTTCGGTGTATTTTGAAAATTTCAACTGATTTACCTATTGTTGCTAGTTGACTGTGTTAGAATACATAATCGAGTGGATTAGCCTACAACAATGAGTGGATTAGCCTACAACAATAAGTGGATTAGCCTACAATAATGAGTGGATTAGCCAACAACAATGCGTGGATTAGCCTACAACAATGCGTGGATTAGCCTACAACAATGCGTGGATTAGCCTACAACAATGCGTGGATTAGCCTACAATAATGCGTTGATTAGCCTACAATAATGCGTTAATTAGCCTACAACAATGCGTGGATTAGCCTAGAACAATGCGTGGATTAGCCTAGAATAATGCGTTGATTAGCCTACAACAATGCGTGGATAAGCCTAGAACAATGCGTTGATTAGCCTAGAATAATGCGTTGATTAGCCTACAACAATGCGTGGATTAGCCTAGAACAATGCGTGGATTAGCCTAGAATAATGCGTTGATTAGCCTACAACAATGCGTGGATTAGCCGAGAATAATGCGTTGATTAGCCTACAACAATGCGTGGATAAGCCTAGAACAATGCGTTGATTAGCCTAGAATAATGCGTTGATTAGCCTACAACAATGCGTGGATTAGCCTAGAACAATGCGTGGATTAGCCTAGAATAATGCGTTGATTAGCCTACAACAATGCGTGGATTAGCCGAGAATAATGCGTTGATTAGCCTACAACAATGCGTTGATTAGCCTACCAAACGTGCATGATCCACCCATTCGCTCGTTGCTCATCTAACACGAGCGAATGGAACGATCACGTTAGATTAGTAGACAGCATGAAGTAATAGGAAACCAATTTATTTATGTTCCAATTTGATCTCAATTATAACATGTTTCTTGATCTGGCTTGACCACGTGGAGGCATTGACCATAGGTGGCTTGACCACACCGAGAGTATAAAAGCTATGGTGGTTTGTGTTGATCTATTGTGTCTGACTAAGGTGGTTTGTGTTGATCTATTGTGTCTGGTGGTTTGTGTTGATCTATTGTGTCAGTGTGTTTGTGTTGATCTATTGTGTCTGACTAAGGTGGTTTGTGTTGATCTATTGTGTCTGGTGGTTTGTGTTGATCTATTGTGTCAGTGTGTTTGTGTTGATCTATTGTGTCTGACTAAGGTGGTTTGTGTTGATCTATTGTGTCTGGTGGTTTGTGTTGATCTATTGTGTCTGGTGGTTTGTGTTGATCTATTGTGTCTGGTGGTTTGTGTTGATCTATTGTGTCTGGTGGTTTGTGTTGATCTATTGTGTCTGGTGGTTTGTTTTGATATATTGTGTCTGACTATGGTGGTTTGTGTTGATCTATTGTGTCTGGTGGTTTGTGTTGATCTATTGTGTCTGGTGGTTTGTGTTGATCTATTGTGTCTGGTGGTTTGTGTTGATCTATTGTGTCTGGTGGTTTGTGTTGATCTATTGTGTCTGGTGGTTTGTGTTGATCTATTGTGTCTGATGGTTTGTGTTGATCTATTGTGTCTGTGGGTTTGTGTTGATCTATTGTGTCTGGTGGTTTGTGTTGATCTATTGTGTCTGACTATGGTGGTTTGTGTTGATCTATTGTGTCTGGTTGTTTGTGTTGATCTATTGTGTCTGGTTGTTTGTGTTGATCTATTGTGTCAGTGTGTTTGTGTTGATCTATTGTGTCTGTGGGTTTGTGTTAATAGATTGTGTCTGGTGGTTTGTGTTGATCTATTGTGTCTGGTGGTTTGTGTTGATCTATTGTGTCTGGTTGTTTGTGTTGATCTATTGTGTCTGACTATGGTGGTTTGTGTTGATCTATTGTGTCTGGTGGTTTGTGTTGATCTATTGTGTCTGATGGTTTGTGTTGATCTATTGTGTCTAGTGGTTTGTGTTGATCTATTGTTTCTGGTGGTTTGTGTTGATCTATTGTGTAAGTGGGTTTGTGTTGATCTATTGTGTCTGTGGGTTTGTGTTGATCTATTGTGTCTGGTGGTTTGTGTTGATCTATTGTGTCTGGTGGTTTGTGTTGATCTATTGTGTCTGATGGTTTGTGTTGATCTATTGTGTCTGTGGGTTTGTGTTGATCTATTGTGTCTGGTGGTTTGTGTTGATCTATTGTGTCTGATGGTTTGTGTTGATCTATTGTGTCTGGTGGTTTGTGTTGATCTATTGTGTCTGACTATGGTGGTTTGTCTTGATCTATTGTGTCTGACTATGGTGGTTTGTGTTGATCTATTGTGTCTGACTATGGTGGTTTGTGTTGATCTATTGTGTCTGGTGGTTTGTGTTGATCTATTGTGTCTGTGGGTTTGTGTTGATCTATTATGTCTGGTTGTTTGTGTTATCTATTGTGTCTGACTATGGTGGTATGTGTTGATCTATTGTGTCTGACTATGGTGGTTTGTGTTGATCAATTGTGTCTGACTATGATGGTTTGTGTTGATCTATTGTGTCTGGTTGTTTGTGTCTGAGAGAATTTTCAAACACAATAGTTGTAGACGTTCTAGTAACTGAAGTTCCCTCCTAGGGTCTTTAGACAGATGTTCCCTCTGACGGGCTGTAGACTGATGTTCCCTCTGACGGGCTGTAGACTGATGTTCCCACTGACGGGCTGTAGACTGATGTTCCCTCTGACGGGCTGTGGACTGATGTTCCCTCCGACGGGCTGTAGACTGATGTTCCCTCTGACGGGCTGTAGACTGATGTTCCCTCTGACGGGCTGTAGACTGATGTTCCCTCTGACGGGCTGTAGACTGAAGGTCCATCTAAGATGCTGAAATCAACGTTTATGCAATCAATCTAGTGATACATGTCATGGATACATCATGAATGAATTATGGATCCAATGAATGCCTGAATGTTGCTACCTGTGATACACGTCATGGATACATCATGAATGAACTAAGGATCCAACGAATGCCTGAATGTTGCTACCTGTCTAAGCTCTCTACTGTCTCCTGGCACCTCTAAATTTTCCCAGCTCTGGCCAAACCTCCAGCCTCACATTTTCCCAGCTCTGTCCAAACCCCCAGCCTAACATTTTCCCAGCTCTGTCCAAACCCCCAGCCTCACATTTTCCCAGCTCTGTCCAAACCTCCAGCCTCACATTTTCCCAGCTCTGTCCAAAACCCCCAGCCTCACATTTTCCCAGCTCTGTCCAAACCCCCAGCCTAACATTTTCCCAGCTCTGTCCAAACCCCCAGCCTAACATTTTCCCAGCTCTGTCCAAACCCCCAGCCTAACATTTTCCCAGCTCTGTCCAAACCTCCAGCCTCACATTTTCCCAGCTCTGTCCAAACCCCCAGCCTAACATTTTCCCAGCTCTGTCCAAACCCCCAGCCTAACATTTTCCCAGCTCTGTCCAAACCTCCAGCCTCACAATTTTTCTCAACTCGGATGTGCTCAACTAAACCCATAATTACCTGGCACGATGAGATGACAATTTAAAATCGGTTGACGACGCAAAGATGTAATTAACTTTATAATTGTAACATATATTTGTATTTATATTATCTCAAAAGTCACCATGTGGTTCCATAACGTTTCATCTATTCGGAGACCTGTTGCGGCACTTCGTTGTGCCACCCCCTCCCCCCCCCCCCGCCCTACGGTCCGCATCCCCAGCCCTCACTACGCCTCTGTTTGGCCTAATGTTTATGTCCTCTAATGATGTTAGCTCAAGCTCCTATTATTTCTGCTGATCTAGGGATCCACTAACACAAATAGGACACCCATCGCCTACTAAATAAACACACAATACATAGCCACTAGCAGAAATAAACGATTGATTGTAATCTCCATCCTCCACCCAAGTGTTTTAAATTAATTTTGTAATAACTTTATTATATGGCTGGTTCAGCGCTTTGGTATACACTGTAGGAAAAAAAAGGTATACACTGTAGGAAAAAAAAGGTATACACTGTAGGAAAAAAAAGGTATACACTGTAGGAAAAAAAAGGTATACACTGTAGGAAAAAAAAGGTATACACTGTAGGAAAAAAAAGGTATACACTGTAGGAAAAAAGGTATACACTGTAGGAAAAAAGGTATACACTGTAGGGAAAAATGGGTATACACTATAGGAAAAAAAGGTATACACTGTAGGAAAAAAAGGTATACACTGTAGGAAAAAAGGTATACACTGTAGGAAAAAAAGGTATACACTATAGGAAAAAAAAAGGTATACACTGTAGGAAAAAAAGTATACACTGTAGGAAAAAAAAGGTATACACTGTAGGAAAAAAAGTATACACTGTAGGAAAAAAAAGGTATACACTGTAGGAAAAAAAAGGTATACACTGTAGGAAAAAAAAAGGTATACACTGTAGGAAAAAAGCTATGCCAACAGTGTTTGGTCTGGCCTGGTCTAGACGTAAGAAGTTGTACTTGCTAACCTGCACGAGTTCGGTCCCTATACGGTACGCGGTTCTTACTGAAAACCCATAACGTCAAAAGTAGGTGGTGGTGCAGCGCACTCAACGATGTGGCAAAATAGAGTTTCTTAGAAATGAATTGATTTGAACTTCTGTCGTTCCCTTAAGTAGATAAGTTCATTGTATGTAATTCCCTTAAGATTTTATTTTAAGTTCAAGCATTTTTACGGAATTGGTTTTAAAATCTTGAAAAGAAATTACTTGTATTAAAGCGTTTTGTGTAACTGTAAAATAAGGAAAAAGATAGTGGGTGGCGCGCTTTTTCGCCAATGTAAATGGGAAGGATTTACATCGGAACGGTGATGAGATAAATCGTTTAACACTTAGAATATAAACCAATTGTATTAAAGCGTAATGTACAATTTTTGGAGGTACCGAACCCTAACAGTTTCACATGCGCCTTCACCGAACCCTTCTTAATAGTTCTATTGAGACATACTTATCGAACCTCTTGGGTTCGATCGAAATCATGTTAAGAACCACTGTTTCAAACTCTTTTGATTTCTTCTTTTTTTTTATTCGTTCCGGTTTCCTAAGAGAACCTTCGTCAACTCGCTTGATTTTTACGAAGATAGAACCCTAATAATCCAGCTTCCCCCATCTCTACTTCAAACGATTTCCTTCAGGACTTTTTTTTATCTACTCCTCTTTCCCCGTGGTGTAAACAAATTAGCACTTGCTACATACTGCCTTCTAAACTCAGATCAGATAATTTTTTTTCCCTGACATTACTAATCTTTTGTAAAAGGAAAACGTATCTTAAGGGGAATTTAATTAGCGTCGAGTAAAGTTTTAAGCAACAAAAATCATACACCGTAATTATTAAACCTTTTCCGGACTGTCGGACACACGCTTACACACGCTTACACACATACGCACACAAATACATAAATACATATATATACATATGTATATATATGTATTATTTAAATATATTTACACACACACACACACTCACACACACACACACACACACACACATATATATATATATATATATATATATATATATATATATATATATATATATATATATATATATGTATGTATAGGGCCTACTGGATATATATATATATATATATATATATGTATATATGTATATATATATAGGGCCTACTGGATATATATATATATATATATATATATATATATATATATATATATATATATATAAATAAATAAATAAATAAATAAATAAGTAAATATATATATATATATATATATATATATATATATATATATATATATATATATATATATATATATATATATATATATAATGTATATAATATATATATATATATATATATATAATGTATATAATTATATATATATAATATATATATATATATATATATATATATATATATACGGATGGGGGTGACAAATTGAAAGTTCGTCCCGGGCGCCGGGAGGGTTTGCTACGTCTCTGATGTCATCCCCTTAAGATTTAATTTTAAGTTCTATGCCTGTCGATCACAAAGTAATAAAAGTAAATTGAATGCCACTAGTCACGTTGAATTTCAGGTCATGTCGAGACACGTTACATTAACGCACACCACAGGCCGACCTGTTTCTTACAGGTGCTAATTTATGTGACGAGTTTTAAGACCTCGCTTACATAGCCTTACTGCTGAGCCAGCTAAGATACGGTTCCTGTTTTGGTTGTACCTTTTATCTTAGCCAGTTAACAATTTACTTAACTGACTGATTATCAAACTAATTATATATATATATATATATATATATATATATATATATATATATATATATATATATATATATATATATATATATATATATCAGGGGCGGAACTACAGTGCCGCCAGACCCCGCAATGAGGGGGGGGGGGGGGGCACGCCATTTAGAGGTTAGTGCCGACCATAATAAATTTGTTATAGTTAAAAAAATAATTTTCTTGCATTTTTGACTTGACGGTAAAAGCTTTTGTAAATAACAAACAGATCTACTAGAGTAGAGATGTTATACAGTAGCTAACACATGCTGTTGCGTAAAAAAATATATATGCCTGAGCTGTAGTGTGAAAGATAGGCAAACGTTCAAAACACTTCCATACTTATGTCCCTTTTTACTTTCTCGTATATACGTAGTATAGAGAAAGTATTGTAATCGTGCAAAAAAAAAAGAATCGAGATTTTTACAAATCTCGACATTTTACACCTCACTGATACGGAAAAACATAATTTTGCAATCTTGTCCGTATGTCAGTGTGTCTGTGTGTGTGTCTCTGTGTGTGTGTGTGTGTGTGTGTGTAAACACGATTCCTTGAGTACCGTTACAGCTAGGTTGATGAAATTTCAAATATAAGTATTTTATCAAAATCGTAGATCCGTATCAACTTTTGAGCGATTTCCGATAACCGGAATTGGTACTTTTTCTCCTTTGAATTTTTCAAAAGCCTATAACTTGAGTACTATTTCAGATAGATAAATGAAATTTCACATGTAAGTCAAAAATCTAATTCTCTACCTTCTGTCAAATTTTGAGTAATTTCCGTTGACGGGAAGTACTAATTTACGCTATTTCAGATTTCTCAAAAACGCATCTAAATTTATAAAGTACTAATAATATTCCGCACCATTATGAACATCTTTATTCGGCGTTCGCTTGGTGTGCAATACTTTTTTCTATGAGATTCTATTTTATTTCAAAAAGTTTATGTATTTAAAATGGATTAAAAAAAAATTCATAAAAAACGTTTTAATAACAAGCTTTTATGTAATGCTGCACTAAAAAGTAGAAAATAAATTATAGACTACTATTTAAATAACTATAAAGAAAAGCGTGGGTGTCTTCCTTAACATTAGTAAAGGTATCCAATAGATACTAAAGTGACCCACGCTTTTCTTTATAGTTATTTAAATAGTAGTCTATAATTTATTTTCTACTTTTTAGTGCAGCATTACATAAAAGCTTGTTATTAAAACGTTTTTTATGAATTTTTTTTTTCAGTACTTTACATGTTTTATCTACAATAGAGTTACATGACTAAAAACCATTGCGCGCCTACTGAATATCACGTTCAGTAGGCGCGCAATGGTTTTTGAACGCAGCCATTACGTGGTCGTGATGGCGCAGCTATTGATGACGCGTGTGGTGTGGTTGGCTAGACATGCCTACTAATTCGGTCCAAATTTTAATTAATTCATAAAAAATCAATTAGGCATCCAATTAAGTCAAATTTAGTTTCAGATTGCATTGTCTTCATGTCTTGACCCACGTACCAACTGTGAATCGTGTCGGTCAAGTAGAACTGTCCGAATTTTCACTCCTGCGTTTCCGTCTAGACTGACGACAGACTGTCGACAGACAGAGGAAG